TCAAACAAGATTAGCCAAACACAGCACAACAGCTGTCGTAATCTTCCTGAAGTTATACAGGTTATTACCAACCACACAGAGTAAAAAGAACAATGTGAAAAGATGCTGGTGGTCAGGAAAACCTGCACACACAGTATTTCCTTACACTGATCTGTGGAAGATGTTGCTCCAGCCTGGTTTCTCTGACTTCCTGTGCAGAATCCTGGTGTTTGGTAGCATCTATTTGCTGCTGGAGGACAGCCACTAAGGACTGAACAGATGCCACTAGTTCATTCCTCACTGTTACTCCTGGTTCTACCAGTGAAAACACACAGAAAGGGATTCAAAGAAGTGCTAACAAGTCAGGACGTTACAAGGTAAACTGACAGAATTGATGCTGGTTGATAAGAAATGAAGTTAAGCAGTTATCCAATGATCGATCAATGAGTTTCTAACAGTGTGGAAAGCACACGATTCTTTCCTACATTATCTAAAGCCTCTGATGACTTGATGTGTGCAGTTAATAACCTGTGCAGTCCCAGCAGTCTTCGTGGTTCGCTCTGTGTGGACACTGTGAGGAAACAGCAGACCGGGTTTTGGCTGGTGTAGCAGAACCTCTACTTATCCCCGATGACCTTGAAGTCACCGCCGTTCTCCCATCCAGGCGCTTGCCTCTTACAGGAGCTGGAGTGGCTTGTCTCATTGAAGAGGTACAGGAAGGAGAAGTAAGGGAGCCACGGGAGGCCTGAGAAAAACGTATAATGCAAAGTGTGAATGTAATCTCTTTTCTACAGTAGCGCCTTTTATATAGTTTGCTCACCGGGTGTTTCTTAGTTTTGCCAGTGTGAGATGATGTGAGAGAAGAGCTTTTGGTATGATCCTGCATCAGCTTGTCTACTTCTGCTCTGATGCTGCAAATCAGATCCTTGTTGGGGGGGTGAGCAGCACTGATTGGGTGGCTTGTCGACTCCTCGGCCCCATTTATTGCTGCAGCTGCAGGGTGCTGTGCCTCATCCGGGAATGCCCTTTCCAGTCCCCTGGAAGTCTTTTCTTGGTTGGGCTCCACAACACTGCAAAGTGACAACCACAGTAAAAAAGAAACAAAATATTTTGTGTATTGTAACTTTACAGTTACTACTGTAACTATTTTTTCAGAAGAGTGTCAGTGATGTCACGATGGTGAGTTCTTCTAAATACAGACAGACGGTGGATAATACATTTTTTCTCTCATATTCATCTACATAAATGAGTACACATTAGTGCCAAGCAGAAGACGGTGGACGGACGGACGGACGGACAGGCTTCAGCATGAGTCGTCACATCTGCCCGAGTTTCATTGATAGGTAACACATTTAGCTCACCTGTCACATTTGCCTTTGCTGTGTAAACTACATCCTTTTATTTGGGTGCAGATGGTTTCCTAATTATTACAATCCATTTCATAATCATTGACACTCTGAGTCCAGACCTTTTACCAACTGAAAACATTTGATTCATCATGAAAAATAAAGAAGAGTCAGGAATGATGAGCAGCTGGACAAGAATGGGACAACAATGCTCTCCAACATGTCCAGCAGCTGGTTTCCTACTTCCAGATGTTTCAGGACTGTTGTAAGAAGAGGGGCTGGTACACATGGCCCAGTGTTTTTGAGATGTGCTGCTATCATTAAATACAACAGATTTTTTTTGTTATTGTACATTTTAGAAATATCGGATATATTTTCTTTGTTTTGCTGGGAACAAATAGGGGCTTCAACATATTTGCAAATCAATGCAAAGCGCTTTAATTAACATTCTGCACAGCCTCCCTGAATTTTAGAACTGATGATCACAGAAGTGATCCCTGTGTGTT